TCTCTTGTCTCAGCCTCCCAAGTAGCTGGGACTACAGACATCTATCACAATACCCATTTTTAGAGACAGTCTTGCTCTTGCTCAGGCTGGTTTCAAACCCGTGAGCTCAGGCAATCCACCCGACTCAGCCTCCCAGTGTTAGGATTTTCTTGAGTATTATTAGGCATGGTGTCTAGCATGGGTGTAAGGCTAATGTTTTGTTTTTGTAAATGAAGAATAAATGAATAAGTGTAGACCACAGGCCTCATTAGTGTCGAGTGTCTTAAAAGGCTGCCCTTTGACTCCTGCCTTCTCTCCCCAGGCAACGGCCCCTCGGGCATCTGCTTGTCTTACCTGCTCTCTGGCTACACCCCCTATGTGAAGCCAGATGCCATCCACCCGCACCCCCTGCTGCAGAGGAAGCTCACTGAGGCTCCGGGGGTCTCCATTCTGGACCAGGTAGGCCAGAGCCGGGGGAGCCATACCCAGTCTCTGGAAACTAGCCCAGCCTTCTCAGGGAGAAGCAAAAGTGTGGGCTTGCTGGGAACAGGAGCAAGCACGGAACAAAATCAGCAATGGCAATCAGGGAAAAAAGAAATCAGAGCTCTAAAAATAGTACAATAGCTCACCAGACCCTAGACCAGTGGTTCTCAATGAGGGGACAATGTTGTTTCCCAAGGTGACACGCAGCAACATCTAGAGGCAATTTTGGTTGTCACAACTGGGGTGAGGGTACTACGGCATCTAGTGGGGTACAGGCCAGAGATGCTATTAAGAATGTGAGAGTGCACAGGACTACTGCCCAGGACCCAGCATGACCCAGCCCAGAGGGCAGTGGCACTAAGGTTGAGAAGCCCCACCCTAGATATTTCAGCTCCTCGAGGGCTTGCTAGTCCCCCCTCCATGCCCCTGGCCTTCCAAGAGTCCACTCATTGTCCACTTTCCCCTTCAGGCATTCTCCATCCTCTTAGTCCCCTTACCCCCCTACCCCCCGAGTTGGAGAAAATCCATTTAGACCATTTGATCTGGCGCAGCATTTTTCAATGCCTTCTATAGAATAATAGTTCCTCAATATAATATGCAGAGAAAAATATTCCCACTCTAGTAATCTTGGGAGACACTGGGTTTGGCAAAATTGAACAGGTAAATTATGGCTGCAGGACTTGTCAGAGCCTTTAGTGCGCTGAGGCTCTGACAAGAGGCAAGAGGCAAGCACTTCCCCAACTTGTCTGACGACCCTGCTATGACTGCAGGAATGTAGGACCAGGCAGGTGCACACATCCCTTCTAAGCTTGCCCATTTGGCCTGTACTCTGGGGCCCCGGGGCTCTTGGAGATACCTCGAAGACAGAACTCCCAAATGGTCCTCTGAGGTGAGGTCCCTCTAGTGCCAGAAAAATAGTCCAGCCCCAGTTCCTACATTTCCTGCCCAGCCTGAGGCGTGGAGAAAAGAACTCTGCCTTTGGTGCCCCCACTGACTCCTACCCCATTTCTAGGACCTGGACTACCTCTCCGAAGGCCTCGAAGGCCGGTGCCAAAGCCCCATGGCCCTGCTCTTCGATGCTCTCCTGCGCCCAGACACAGACGTCGGGGGAGACATGGAGTCTGTCCTCACCTGGAAACACCAGAAGGAGCGAGCCATCCCCCACATGGTCCTGGGCCGGAACCTTCCCGGGGGAGCCTGGCATGTAAGTGGGTAGCAGGGGTGCCAGGGGCCTGGGTCAAATCTGCTTCAAGTCTTGGGGAGAGGACCCTCCCTAGTTTCCCCAGTGTGGAGCCAGGACTTTTCCATCCTCATGTCCTCATTCACCTCTCCCTCCCTTCCCCCACCTCTCCTTTCTCCCTGTCCTTCCCTCCTCAGTCCCGGCCAAGGTCCCCCCATGCCTTCCAGCCCTGAGTGGGTTGGGACTGGCAGAGGCCAGGACCAAAGGACCCCTTTTCTGCAGTCTATTGAAGGCTCCATGGTGACCCTGAGCCAAGGCCAGTGGATGGGGCTCCCAGATCTGCAGGTCAAGGATTGGATGCAAAAGAAGCGAAGGTGAGCACCCTGGGGGCTGCAGTGGGCAGGGAAACCTCCTGCCGCCAGCTTCTAAGACCGAGAACACTGGGGGGGTGGGGGGTGGAGCTTCAGAGCTCCTCTAGTCTGCCTTCCTCTTCCTCCAGAGGGGAAACTGAGGCTCAGACAGGGAAAGGACTTGCCCAGCACCACTCAGTAGGCAGGGCTGGCTTCTCCAGGACTCCCTGTCCAGTGCTCCCTCCACCTTGTCACCTGAGCCCCCAAATTGGCCTCCCTGCAGTGTGACAGCCATCCTCTGCCCCCTGCACTCTGGCCATTGTCCCAGTTCTTCGGGCCTCTTACAGCCCCTCCGTTTATTCTGAGTCTCGCCTAGAGAAATTTCTCACAGTGAGCACACAGAATCAAGAACACAGCCCATCACCACCACCACCCCCCTATAGATTAGCAGGTCCTGAGCTCTATAAACACACAAGCGTACTGTACTTACATAGAATGCCACTTAACCTCTTAGGGTGTCCTTAACAGTGGCCCATCCTATCTAGCGCTTACTACCCACCTGGTTCTACTCTGAGCATTTTGTTTCTATTAGTTCATCAATTTTTCTCAACAACCTCACCACATAGGTCCTGCCACCATCATCATCCTCATTTCAAAAATGAGCAAACTGAAGCACAGAGTTTCAGGCACAGCTCACTAGTGACAGAGCCAGGATTTGAACCCATGCAGCATGACTCTGCAGGACACCCCATTCCCACCCCAGACCTCCTGAGAGAGGTGTCCTTGTTGTTTCCATTTACATAGGAGGAGGCTGACACTTGGAGAGGTTCAACTGCCCAGGCCAGTCCTACAGCTGGGGGGGTGGTGCAGCTGCTTGTCCAGGGCCTGATGTTACCCTGGTTATCTGTCTCGCCCAACCCATGCCCCCCCACCCTAGACTACTTTAACACCCACTCTCCTACCTTCTCCCCCCACAGAGGTCTTCGCAACAGTCGGGCCACGGCTGGGGACATTGCCCACTACTACAGGGACTACGTGGCCAAGAAGGGTCTGGGCCACAATTTTGTGTCTGGCGCTGTGGTCACAGCCGTGGAGTGGGAGACGCCTGAGTCCTGCAACTCGGGGACGCAGGCTCCCAGCCCCCTCTTCCAGGTGAGTGGCTGCCTGACTGCCAAGGACCAGAGCCAGCAGCCCTTCTCACTGTGGGCTCGCAACGTGGTCCTGGCCACTGGCACCTTTGACAGCCCAGCTAGACTGGGTGTCTCCGGAGAGGCCCTGCCTTTTATCCACTATGAGCTATCAGCCCTGGAGGCAGCCAGACGGGTAGGTGCGGTGACCCCATCGTCAGATCCCGTCCTCATCATCGGTGCGGGGCTGTCTGCGGCCGACGCCGTCCTCTACGCCCGCCACTACAACATCCCGGTGATCCACGCCTTCCGCCGGCCTGTGGACGACCCTGGCCTGGTGTTCAACCAGCTGCCCAAGATGCTGTACCCTGAATACCACAAGGTGCACCAGATGATGCGGGAGCAGTCCATTTTGTCGCCCTTCCCCTACAAGGGCTACTGCAGCCTCCCCGGGCACAGGCTGCTGTTCTTCAAGGAAGACAACCAGGCCGTGTTCCAGGACCCCCAGGGCATTGAGAAGGTCTTCGGTATCTCCTTGGTGCTGGTCCTCATTGGCTCCCACCCAGACCTCTCCTTCCTCCCTGGGGCAGGCGCTGACCTTGCTGTGGACCCCGACCAGCCACTGAGCGCCAGGAGGAACCCCATTGATGTGGACCCCTTTACCTACCAGAGCACCCACCAGGAGGGCCTGTATGCCATGGGGCCACTGGCTGGAGACAACTTTGTGAGGTTCGTGCAGGGCGGGGCCCTGGCCGTGGCCAGCTCCCTGCTGAGGAAGGAGACCAGGAAGCCACCCTAGTATCCGGCCTGACACACCAGCACCCAGGCCCTGAAGAGGAGGGGAGATCACCACAGCCCTGCTAGGTGCAGGACCCATCCGAGATGCCCTGATGAGGGGAGGAGCCACTCCTGGCAGGAGACAGGAGGGACTATGAGCCCACGCAGCTGGCCTTTCAGGTCCAGAGGAGGGGGGAAGCCAGGCTGTCCTAGACTCAGACTATTGCCCAAGGGGGGCATAGTGGCTGCAGGAGAAGGTAGGCCTAGACCTAGGATTTTGGGGGAATGCTGCCATTATGAGCTGGCACAACCAGGGCCAGCTGAGTGCCCAGCCAGAGGCTGGGTCTCTCCATGCAGTTCCCAAATAAAACCAATGCCTACCTCCATTCATGTGTCTGAGGACTTGGTGTTTGGGGGAGCTGGGAGCCTAAGACCCTGTACTGGGGAGGGGGGCACAGGGTCATGCCAGAGCTCCTGGATGAGGCCAGGGGCTGAGGGGTGAGGAGCAGGGGATGGTGCCCAATTTGGGGGGCAGTTGAGTGGCAATTGTGCTAAACCCTTAGAGGGAGAATGTGTGCAGGGAGTAGAGGACAGAGGCTGTCACTGCCCCCCAACCTGTTCTCACCCCTCTCCTTCTCAGTTCCAGCTCACTGTCTCCTTTAGTCTCTCCTGTCGCCTGTTCTGCCTGCCCCAGGGCCTTTGCACAAACTAGTCTCTAGCCCAGGATGCTTTCTCTCCTTTTTTAACTTCTCTGTGAATCTCTCCCTAAGAATTGCTTTCTCTAGGAAGCCTTTTCAGACAGCCCTCCACTGTGGCCAGAACAAATCTCCCTCTCACAGTCCAGGGTGTCACCTTTTACAGAGTAGTTCCATTTTAATTGTTCCTTTGTAGAAAAACGTCATTGTTTGGCACTGCGAACCCTGGCTGTTTTGCCCATTGCTGAAACCCAGCATCTAGCACCCAGCCTGACACCTAGTGGGTTCTCCCTAACTAATCTTTCAACTGGATGGACACGAGGATGGGTGGACAGACAGGTGGCAGGGTGGGTGGGAGAGTGGATTGGATTGATGACTGTGAAGGGAAGGTGTTCTGGGCGTTGTGTACCAGGAGGGGTGGGTCTGATGGGTCGTGCATGCCCGCGGGAGGCGAGAGTGGGTGCCCGAGGGAGTTGCGAGAGCCACGGTGCGTGGGCGCGGATCCCCACAGCTGCAGCCGGCAGAGGGCGCTCTGGGCTCGCTGGACACCCGCACTCCGGCCCCTACAGCGGCACCACGGGTGGGAGGGGGACTTGGGGGAGCAGAAGGAGACTTTTGGGGGGAAGATCGCAGAGACATCCCTGCACCCAGACCCCCACCCACCCCTTGCCTTCGGGAAAGCCCCTCCGCGGCCGGGCTGGGGTCCAATCACCCGGCCTCACGACCCGCCGGGTAGCCCCCTGCAGCCGCGCCCGGCCGGCAGGGGTGGGGGCGGCGGGACCAGGCACGTGGCTCGGGGTCCGGGCGGAGCGCCCCCCTCCCGTCCCGTCCCCCAGCGCTGGCCAGTCCCCGCGGTGTCCGCGGCCGCGGGGACAGAGGGAGGGAGGG